CGTTCTTATCTACACGGCGAACGTGATACAAGATTGGCCGATTGACCGTAGGTCAGAAATCAAGATTTTCTATTTGACAAATCGTTTGTGGGAATAATTCACCGCGTCCTATCGCAGAACGTACTTTGATCATTTCGAAACCGCTGGACGCGTGGACGCCAATGCGTGTCTCGCTTTTAAAGGGAGAAAGGCTTGTAACTAACAAAAGAAGACTCACATAGAGTGTGAGAAAATGATGGGTGAAATTGTCGGTATCTAATCAAGCATTCTGATTTGGAATCGTACTGATCATTGTAAGCGCATTGGGTTGCACATGTGGATGAGTACAGATTAGCAAAGCAAAAATAGTCAGAGAAGATAAAAGAAATCCACGCACGAACAATCCATCAAACAGCACCCATGGAAGCCAACAAAGATAGCATCGTGAGATCGGAAACAGATGTTGTCAATCCGGACTGCGCGAGTTTATCTCTATGTCGCGCATGAGTTTCCCTTGCGAACAAAAACATATGGTAGTGGCTCACTGGCACTCAACATATACAAATGCACACCATTCAATGCAACTCACCTTCCGTTATTGTGGCCGTTAGTGCGTTTGTGGCTGCATTGGTTGATGAAGATGCGAACTTCACCTTGATCTCGTTCGATGTCGATACTAGTGGCTGTTCCGGAGCTTTTGTGCCGCATATCTTGTAAGTTTCACCGTCGAACTGGCCGTTAAAGCTAATTTGAACAAAATCCTCGGTGCATTTGTCACTTGTTCCGACCTAGTATCCCAACCAAAGATAGATCAATAGGCGATCGATGAGAACGATGAGAGATTACTTGACTGTGATATCACACTCCATTGATAATGCGAGAAATGGAAATTGGCAAATACTCACTTTGAGTTCGGTAATTTGCAGTTGATATTTCTTCTCCGCTGTGCCCGTAAGTGTGTAGTCACACGTGGTAGCCTCGGTTAACGATTGTGCGGGCACCCTCCACGGATTCTTTAATTTGGTCAGATCCACTGCCGCTTCGCCGCATTTCGGGTCTTGTGAGCCTTGATCCTTAACTGAAACATAGGGAAATAATGAAAATCGCAATGATAGGTACCGTGCTAGCGTACGATACAAATCAAAGTGCATTTACGATCCCAAATAAAAGTGATCATCACTGTAGCACGAAGCGGTCATTGAGGAGAGATCACGGACGTTCTTTACTACACAGTGAATGTGAAACAAGATTGAGCAAATGACCAGTGGTCAGAATTCAGCTTTGGCTATTTAACTGGTCGGTTGTGCGAAAGATTCATCGAGTCCCTTCTCAAAAATGGGTGAGATCATTTCAAAAACTACTGGATTGCCAAATTGATGGACGCGCATTAGACGACAGCTGTAGATTCGGTCAAATGTGCTGTTTGAGACACGATCTTAGAAGAGAAAAGTTTAAAACAGTGATGCACGTTGAGAATTTGAGAAACGAATAAACTTTGTCGTGAGCAGTATTGAAGCAAACTAAAAACCAGCAATTTCAAAAATCACATTGATTGATAGAGCGACAAGAATACGAATTTGCATTCACAAAACGACGTCAATAGAAGCACGGACAGACACAGACGTATTGTTCTTTATTTAACTGTACGGATAAAGTTGACTAATACTTTCTCAGTTCTAAATAGTCTCGAATCGAAAGAAAGTATACTCGACAATTGTATGCCTGTGTGCACGTGCATTTGCACCTGTATGTGAACGAGAAACTGAACCGCCGTTAGTATTGCTGTGCTTCTACGCAAATGATTTGTCCGCGTACATTCACCGCATTTTCTATGCAATTATACGGCCTCACATGAACAAATATTGGTGCCTATTGCATTGAATAAACATAAGATTCGAACGGAAGAACTCTATGTCTGATTCAGTCAACAGCTCAGCAGCAACCAAACAGAACACACTAATGACAACCCTAATATACATGGTCATTCACATTGAACGAGAATGATTGCTTTGGCATACGAACAAACATCGTGATCTGGAATCGCACTGGAGTGGAGTGTAGCACCCAATCGATGTGATACAGCGACACAAACATATCATTAAGTGAGTTGGATTTGACCAACCAAT